GTTTGTAAGCTGTATAATGGTACTATATACACTATGTGACTCTGTGTGTGTGTGTGTGTACACTATATAAGTGTCAGCTGCTGGATATCAGGAAAAGTTTTTTTAGTAATCAGAGTAAATCATGTAGGAGGATAATAGGTAAGCAGAGGCTATGATAAAATTAGGATAGAGATTAGAACTGTGTGCTCATTATAGGGAGCTCCCATGTGAAGAACTTCCTCTACCAATGTAAGTCGGTACCTTCTCTGCAAAGTTGCCTAGACTGAAGTACTTCTTAAACTGTGGGTCTCAATCTCATCTGGGGTTGCAAAAAATTTGGCAACATGCAATGACCAAAAATAAATTAAAAATCAAACACATAATGAATCCGAGGTGTTTTTGGCAGCACTTACCGCTGTTGGATCTCAACTTCACTGCAGCCTTGATTCTGAACACAAAGCAAGCACACTTTGCATGGTGCATGTCCTCAGTCCATGCAGCACCAAGCTGCTGGGGTAGAAAAAGTGTAAGAAGCCCTGGCCTAGAGTACCAAGAGGTTAATCAACTTGCTCAGGATCTGTACACGGCCAGCATATTTTCATAGGTAGGATTTGAACCCGAGACTTCCTGGCCAGCTATCAGCAATGCCACATAGTGACATTAAAAGGAAGTCAACTTTTGACAGTATCCCTTTGATGTTACTGATTTACAAGTCCCAGATAGCCTTCTCTACACTCACACGCACCAATATTGAAGTAGCTCCCTGAGTAAGAAAAGTGATGAAATGGCAAAGAATTACATCTGTCATCCTACAAGAATATTCTTTCCATCTTTTTTTGGTTATAATATGTAAATTCCAAGATTATCACTCTTGGAATCTGAAAAGTATAAAAGGGATTCCCCACCCACCCACCCCAATATATTTTTATGAAGTACAAAACAATCTGGCACCACTTTACCTATGAGGAGGGAAGGGAAGTAATGCTTGCAGCCATATGTCATGGGGTCGAGCATACAGGAGGCCAAGCAGGCATTTCAGTAATTCAGTGGAAAAAAAGACAGTGAGACCAGTTGTTTGATACTGTCCTGTCAACACTAGTTAATAAGAATCCTTAGATATTTGAAACAGTTGCTCTATCATTTCCACCCGGCCAAGGTCTGTTGAAACTCTTTTTCTTTTTCTTTTTCTTTTTTTCAGTTCTTATATATTTAGAGAAAGATTCAGCCCTTGACAACATAGTGAAATTGTGATTATCTTCAGGGACATGCTCTGTGTCTCTTTGTCCCCTTTCATTCTTTCATCCTCTCCCCTAGCCACTGACCCTCTTTGTTGTGTTGTTCATTTGTTTCAGTTGTATTAGACTCTTTGAGACTCCATTTGGGGTTTTCTTGGCAAAGACATTGGAGTGGTTTGCCATTTCCTTCTCCAGCTCATTTTATAGATGAAGAACTGAGGCAAGCAGGGTTAAGTGACTTGCCCAGGATCACATAGCTAGTAAGTGTCTGAGGCTGGATTTGAACTCAGGAAGATGAGTCTTCATGACTCCAGGCCAAGCACTCTATCCACTGCATCACCTAGCTGCCCATATGGGCCCCCCAGGTAGAATCATAATTGGCTGTTTTATACCTCAGAGCAAAAGCAAAAAAATGCACCCTCAAATCCACCTTTTAAGGTAAATTGGGCAGTAGGTGGAGCCAGCTGAGGAGGAGATCCTGCCGGATGTGACTGCTAGGCCTAACTAGCTACTGTGTAGCTGAAATGCTAGGGCTGCTAGCAGGTGCAGTGCATAGAGTACAGGGCCTGAAGTCAGGAAAAGGAAGACTCTTCCTGAGTTCAAATTCAGCCTCAGACACTTACTAGCTGTGTGACCCTGGGCAAGTCACCTAACCCTGTTTGCCTCAGTTTCCTCATCTGTCAAATGAGCTGGAGGAGATGGCAAACCACCCCAGTTTCCTTGCCAAGAAAACCCTGAATGGGGTTACTAAGAGTCAGGCACGACTGAACAACAAAAAAGCTGAAACACTCCAAATGCTATCAGCCCCCTCTAAATTTGGGTGCCATTATATAGGCATTCATCTTGATTTATGGCTTTGCTTCTGGCATCCCAACACACTAATTCACATTAAGGTGACTTTGAATTCAGGGCTGGAGGAGGTCTTTGTGATTATCTGCATAATGTTCTCATTTTGCCCGTGGGAATACTCAGGCCCACAGAATCTAATTGGCTGATTCAAGGTCTCATAGGGAATCATCAGTGGAGCTGACTAGACCCAAGATTTCCTGACTGACTCACAGGGCAGTGCCCTTCCATTACTCAGGACTGCTAATTCAATGTGTCATCCCCCTCCAAGAGTGTCTATCTGTGGTTTCAAAGAAGACCTATGGAGAGGATACTATTCAGCTCAAAAGAATGAATCTCTAATGCTAAAAAACATCATGTCCCACAGCATCTGGGTATGGAGATACTTGGGAGTAAGAAGACATTCTGTTTCATCTTCAAATCACAGAGTTGACTACCCCCTCCATCTATCAAGTAAGGCCAGCCCTGCCTAATACCATTTCAACTGCTTGATGAGTGAGTTAAGGGATTTTTAAAGTAAATTTTTTCCACTCATCATTTTAATTTTATAATTATATAAGATCTCCATAATTATCTATTCAATATTATGTACTTTGTGTTCAATACAAATCCCTTCATCACTGGGGCCTTAATTTAAAAAAAAAATATTTCTGGCAAATGTACTGGGCTGGAAATAGAAAACATGCAAATAGCATATGCAAATTATATTTTAGTCTGCAATGTTGTCTGATATAATAGTACCCAGTGAGAAATAAAATAGTGAAAATTAATGCCAAGAACCTCCATTAGGAGAAGGAATTTTCAGCTGAACAAAGACCGTAGGTATTATATATCTACTAACAAAGGGGTCCTCATTTTTCTACTCTGCCCCATTTTTAATATCTATGTAACAAAGCCCTAAAATCTTCCAAGATGTGCTGCATCGTGGAAAGAATTTGCTGTAGTTATAATCCACCTTTGAAACTCAACGAGCTCTTAAATATTTCAAGGAAATATGTTCTGTAGAAGGGAGAAAACAGAAAGATTATATCCATGGGCATTTATACAAGTAGAATATTGATTCAGTCTCCCAGTGTTTCTATCACAGAGTCATCAGGTACAGCAACAAATATGCCCTTATGAGATACAAAGAATACATAACTCCCTCTGAATGTGTTGTCTGTTATTCAGTCTGTGGGTAATATGTAAGTTATTTTTAAAGACTTTCTCCCTTCAGAGCATCCGAATTGTGCATCTATTTTTTCTCTAGCACCATAGGGGGATACAGATGAGTAAATGACCTTGGCACTGCCTTTAAAGAGCTTCAATCAAGATAAGGAAACACTAATGGTGATCTAATGGTAGCCATCTCTAGGGTGGGGGAGAGGAGGGAGGGGAAAGGAAGAAAAAAAAAAGAAATTTGCATGATAACTTCATTATGTATTTAAAAGGAATAGCAAGTTGTGCAATTATTTTTTTTATTATACTGTGTCATGGACATGCTTGTTTTATTCCATAAGTTAAAAATAAAATAAATAAATTTTTTAAAAAGTTAAAAAAGATAAGGAAACACCAATAAAATGTATCAATAAGAGACAGCGCAAGGCAAGAATGCATTTTGGTACTGGGAGGTGAGGTAGGAATAATAATATTCAATAATAATAGCTAACATTTATATAGCACTTATTATGTCCCAGGCCCTGTGCTAAGAGATTTACAATTATTATCTCGTTTGGTCCTCAACAATCCTGAGAGGTAGATGCTATTATGATCCCCATTTTATAGATGAGGAAATTGAGGCCAACAGAGGTTAAGTACCTTGCCCAGGGTCACACAGCAAGTGTCTGATGCTGGATTTGAATTCAGATATTCCTGACTACAGGCTTATTACTCAGAAATGATAACTGTTGGGACACCTAGGTGGTACAATACATAGAACATCCTGCCCTGGAGTCAGGAGGACCTGAGTTCAAATCCAGCCTCAAATATTTACTAGCTGTGTAACCCTGGGCAAGTAACTTAACCTGGATTGCTGCCAAAAAAAAAAGATAAGAAAATTATAACTGTTTTCATGTGTTTAAAGAGTCATCATACAGAAGAGGAATTAGACTTGTTCTTCTTAGCCCCAAAGGGCAGAATCAGAATCAAAGGGTAGAAGCTGAATAGAGGCAAAATTTGGAGTGAATGGAAGAAAAAACTTCCTAAACAACAACAACCCAACTGCAGGAAGTGGTAGATTTCCCCTTCCTTGGAAGTCTTCAAAGCAGAGTCCAGAAAGCCATTTTTTTGGCATGGTGTAGAAGCAACTGTTCATGGAAAGGTTGGCCTAGGTAGCTGGAGAGGTCCCTTACACATCTGAAATTCTTTGATTCATCAGGAGCAAATGGGAATGGACACTAGTCTTGGAGTCAGGAAGACTGAGTTCAAACCCAGCCTCCAGCACTACTGAATACTCCCAGACACATTGTTTAAACTCTCTAAAAGCATCATGAGCTAAGTCTTGAAGGAAACTAAGGATTCTCAGAGGGAGAGGTGAGGAGAGAAAACTTCTCAGGCATATGAGACAATGGGCATGGAGATGTGAACTTCAGTGCTATATAACATAGGACAGGGGTGGGAACCTGCGGCCCTGAGGTCACATGTGGCCCTCTAGGTCCTCAAGTGCGGTCCTTTGGATTCAGGCTAAGGGCTGCACTTGAGGACCTAAAGGGCCACATGTGGCCTCAAGGCCGAAGGTTCCCCACCCTCGAATAAGATATAGAATGGAGCCTGGAAGCTTGTTTTATGGTTTCAGTAAATGAGACATAAATAGCTAGAAACTTCAATGTAGGATTTGGTTAATCCTATTCTTTTAACTAAATGATGATAGCAGAACTTACATTCATATTTGAAGCCTGAATTGATTAACCTTTTTCGGGAGAACTCTTACAAGGATTATTCTTTTTTTAAACTGTTTTACAGACTCACCTCTTTGGTGTATTGCTGGCAGTTACAGGAAACTTAATCATCAGCATTTCACTCAACATACAGGTATGAAAAATATTCTTGTAATCTAATGGTTTTATTTCCTTAAAGTTTATTGCTTCAGTTTCCTTCCCAGCTCTTCCTTCTGGGAGTTTATGCAGGGTATGAAGATTCTTTGGAAAGCATTCATTTGCAGACCAAATGGGTTTACATTTTCCTTTTTTTTTCTTTAACACTTAAGAAAACTAGGCTAGAACCATATGGATTTCCCTCTTTTTTAAGAGAAACCTATGGAAGGGAAAGCAGGGACTTAAATCAAACCATGAACCGGTTTCTGCTTTGAGATCTTGGGCAAGTGAATTGACCTCCAGGAGGTCAATTTCCTCAGTTTCCTCCTCTGTAAAGAGAGAGGCTTGGACAGGGGGATCTTTAAGGTTCCTTCTGGCTCCAACGTTGTATCCTTCCTGGGACCACAGAATGAACTATTCTCATTTGCTTAATCTTGAACTAAATATAAATAACTTTTTTCTTACAGACCCACGAACCAAACTCTAGCATTATTATGATGTATTCACATAATGTGCCAGGGTGAACTTGAACCATTCAGTCAATCAAGAAACATTTTACGAAGTGCTTACTATGTGCTAGGCATCTGCTATGGGATGCAAGGAGGGGGAGGGAACATGTATTTACAAAGTGCCTACTGTGTGCCAGGAACTGTGCTAAGCACTTTACAAATATTATCTCATTTTGTATCAAAGAGTATACAAAGACCAAAAAAAAGAAAAAGCCCCAAACAATCCCTGCTCACAAGGAATTTACATTCAACTGGGGAGACAACAAGTAATAGAATCATGGCATAGCAAATAGGGCGCCAGACTTGGGCTCAGGAAGATTTAGGTTCGGCTGCTAGCTCAGATATTTACTTGCTGTGTGATGCTGGCCAGGTCATTTAACCTTTCTGTGTCTCAGGTTCCACAGCTATAAAATGAGTGGATCTCTAATGCCCTTTCCAGCTCTAAATCTATGATCCAGTGATCCTTTCTACACATATACATATCTATAGAATAAACACACAATCCATAGGAGACAATTAATTAGAAGATAGTTAGGAATGGGAGGGGAGAGACCTCCTGGAGAAGGTGGAGCTTGGGCTTGAAGGAGATTGCATGAGATGACAGCAGCTGTGGACTGGTAAATGTTTAACAACCAGCTCTCTTGAATATGTTTAAGTTTCATCTGTATTATTAACATTTTCTCCATCACTTTCTTAAGCCTAGACGCTGGACAAAACAACAAACCAAGCCCTGATTTGTAGCACTGGCCAATTTCCAAGGTGGAAATGCTCACACTGAAAATTTAGCTATTGGCTCTCAGACAGTTCGAGCTGGCTCCAGCACACCCTTGGGCATAGATGAGGAGTGTCTGCAATCCAGGCATGGGATATGGACACTACAAAGCTACAGAAACAGTAGCTGAGAGGGCCATATGTGCAGAATACAGAGAAAGCCAATTTGGTCCAACTGTTTCTCCCCTTCCTCACCTCCACTTCTTGGTCTCTGCCTTCCTTCAGGATGGTGCCTTGTGCAGATAGCACTTTATCCTCCCAGTTGTTTCAGTTATGTCTTGCTCTTCATGACCCCATTTGGAGGTATTCTTGGCAAAGATACTGGAGTAGTCTGCCATTTCCTTTTTCAGCTCATTTTACAGATGAGGAGACTGAGGCCAACAGGGTTAAGTGACTTGTCCAGGGTCACACAGTTACTAAGTATCTGAGGCTGGATTTGATTCATGAAGATGAGCCTTCTTGGCTCCAGGTCTGGTGCTCTCATCCACTGCCCCACCTAGCTGACCCATATAGCTGTCAGATACTTCACCTTCCTTCTACACTCTATGTATCATAAAAGTATGTATTTTTTTACATGATGTCCCCACCATTCAAATCTAAGCATCTTGAGGGCAGGGACTATTTTTGTCTCTCTTCATGCCCCTAGTGTTTGGTGACATATAGTAAGCACTTAATATGTGATTGTTAACCGACTGGCCATAGAGTGAAGAAAGGGGAGTAATTTATACTGAGGGTGGAAAGGTGGGTTGCAAAAGGGCTTTAAAAGTCAAGTAAAAGAGTTTAAATTTATTGAGTTTGGTGGTGACATAGATATATTCTTTAGGAAGATCATTTTTGGTAGAAATGTGGAGAATGGATTGGAGTAGGGAGAGACTTGAGGTGGGGATATTAGTTATGAGACCATTGCTAGTTGAGAAGGATTGAGGGTCTAGCAGAATGAGCCCTGGACCTGGAGTCAGGAAAGACCTGGGCTCTAACCCTACTTCTCCTCCTAGCTGAGTGATCATGGGAAAGGAATCCCCTGTCAGAGCCTTGGTTCCTTCATCTGTAAAATGATACCCATCTCATAGGGCTATTGTGAGGTAAGTACTCTGAAATCCCTAAACAGCTTGAGAAATATCATTTGTTGTCTTTCAAGAAGTAGGAAACATATAAAGCCCCTTTTTTTTCATAATCTGCACCTAAGTCACCTTTTAAAAATTAATGTAAGATGCTTTCTCTTTGTGAAAAATGTTTTTATTTATATTCCTAATTCTGTCCAGAAATATTCTCACCTTAAATCGGCACATCAAGGAAGCCAAAAGCCCTACTTCCGAAGTATCTTGTGGTGGTGTGGGAGCCTTCTGATGGCAATTGGGGAGACAGGAAACTTTGCAGCCTATGGACTGGCACCCATTACTCTCATTGCACCTTTGGGTTGCATGTCTGTTGCAGGTAAGACATTTTTCTATATTTTGAAACAAAGATGTTCCCCAGTATACTCAAAACACAAGAGAAATGATCCCTGCACAATAGGATCACAGCCTCTGATTTCTGAGTTCATGACATAGCCACCATTGAATTGACTAATTATATTGAGTTACGGCTTCACGTTGCGTGATCAGTCATAAGTGAATTTATTTCTCATAGAATCCCAGAGTCAACTTAGTAGGGACCTTCAGGGTCATCTAGCTGAAAAGAATTTAATCTAACCCCCTTATTTTCTAGATGAAGAAATGAAACCTAGAAAAGTGAGCAACTTTTTCGTGGTTATCCAGGAAGTGTCAGAGGCAGGATTTGAACCCATGACCTCTGACTCAAAATCTAGCATGAAATTTTCTCCATAGCACTCATGACAACCAGATAGACCTCCAACCTAAACTCAAACACCTCCAGTGTTACAGAGCTGATGCCTTATGAAGTAGCCTGCTCTATTGGAGGTAGCTAGGTGGCTCAGTGGATAGCAATCCTGAGCCTGGAGCCAGGAAGACCTGAGTTCAAATCCAGCCTCAAACACTAGCTACGTGGCTTTGGGTAAGTCAAATAACCTGTTTGCCTCAATTTCCTCAACTATAAAATGAGAATAATATTAGTACCTACTTCCCAGAGTTACTGTGAGGATCGCATAGTTTAATATTTGTAAAGCACAATGCCTGGCACGTAGTAGGTACTATATAAATGTTAGCTATTATTATTGTTATGGCAGCTAGGTGGTGCAGTAGATAAGAGTACCAGGTCTGGAGTCAGAAAGACTCATATTTCCGAGTTCAAATCTGGCCTCAGACACTTAGTAGCTGTGTGACCTGGGCAAGTCACCTAACTCTGTTTGCCTCAGTTCCTCATCTGTAAAGTGAACTGAAGAAGGAAATGGCAAACCGCTCCAGTATCTTTGCCAAGAAAACCCCAGATGAGGTCACAAAGAGCCAGACACAACTGAAACAATTGAACAAAAACAGCAATGGTTATTATTGGAGTCACTCAGGTTTATTAGAACATTCTTCCTTATATTGAGTCTGCTTTCCTGTACCTGGGGGAGTACAGGAGCTAATTAGGATAAATTTAATATCTCTTCCAAATGACAGCCCTTTATTTTTTAAATTAAATGTTTTATTTAAAAATTAACATTGAACATCAATGTAATCAATACTGTTGGAGGAACAGCATGGTGCCATAAAAAGAGTACTGAACACAGAGTCATAGGATGTCGTCTCAAACCTGGCTCTGCCAGGTGATACAGTGGTTAGAATGCCAGGCCTGGAGTTGGGAAGACCTGAGTTCAAATGCAGCCTTAGAAACTTACTAGATATGTGACCTGAGCAAGTCACTTAACTCTCTTTGCCTCAGTTTCCTCATCTGTAAAATGAGCTGGAGAAAGAAATGGCAAACTGCTCTAGTATCTGCCAAGAATCACTTTGGGCAAATCACTTAAGCTTTCTAGGCCTCAGTTTTTTCATCTGTAAATAAGGAGGTTGGACTAGATAATCTCTAACAGTCATTTCAAGGTCCAAATTTATGATAGCTTTTGAACAAAACTTGCTTAATAACTATTTACATTTAGATTAATTTCAACAGGGAAAGGATCATAACAACTTTGCAGTCTCTCCCTCTAAATCCTCATCAGGATTCTTTGATTTCTTTCACTTTTCCTCTCTCAGGGAATAATATCCCTTGACGTATTGAAAGACTGTTGTCAAGGCTACCCTTCTTTCCCCTTGCCCCATCCCAAGTCTTTATAAGATCATAGCCTTAGAGATAGAAGGAATTTCAGAGGTCATCTGATCCAACTCCCTCATTTCACACATAACGAAACTAGCGAAACTAAGGTTATGCAGGTAGAAAGGGGAAGGGCCAGGATTTGAACATCAGACCTCTGACTCAGAAGCCAAAAGATGTCTCTACTGCTCCAGAGATAACCTGGGAAGAAGAAGGTAGAAAAAGGCAGGCTATAAACATCTCTGGTTCCTAAAGCTGCTGAGGTTTCAAGTCTCCTTACCATTGTTCATTTTCATAGTCACCCTTCCTACCTGTCATTATTCATGAAACTTCATAGAATTTTTAATTGGGCTTTCTGGTGTTACTTCTAAAATGCAAATTTAATTTTTTCCATCCTTTATACTCCTGGTTTACTTTTTGTCAGTGAAACTAAATAGGTTGGTTTCATGGTCTGATTTTCAGTTTCTGATTCTTGGAAATTAACATCAGCGTCATTCGTGAAATAGTTACAAAAAATCCCCTGCATTGGAATTAAGCAATTATTTTACTTCACGTTAGGTTTTGTTAAACCAGGTTTAAATTTTAAACATATTGGAACCGTACTGCTTGAACATTCAAAAACTCTTCCTCCCTACGTATATCTTGATGTCGCTTTTTATTAGGTCAAGAAATTTTGAAATTGACCATGTTGTGATGGTTATAGTCTAGTTTCTAAATCCTTTTCTTTCAAAGAGTTTCATCTGTGCTCATTTGAAGTGATTTCCCAAGCACCCTAATAAGGGGAAATGAAATGTCTCTAAATGTCAAAAGGGAAAATTCATTCCCTAAGCCCACTTCAAGTCAACAACTTCTTCTGAGGTTTCTCTGCATCTGCTGCCATGGAAACGTTGTATTTCTAAATCTCTGTAAAATTTAGAGCCTTCTTTGATATGGTAACAAACCAAGAGAGAAGGCTTCTGCCTTCTGTTAACAGAGACAAAAAAAACGTGGCGATGTGTCTGGATTTTAAGGTCTCTGAAATGTTTCTTACATATTTTTGTATTGCTGGCAAAGAGGATTTTATTCGACTCCCTAAAACAAAACACAATCCAGACTTGAGTGACTTGGATAAATACACAGGTTATCTAATAAGTTATTATTTATGAGCATTCCGATTGAATGAATAAATTAGGGCACTTCTCACTTGTTCTATTCTTTAGCTCCTAGGCAACCAAATACCCTTGATATTTTTTTTTCATTCAAAGAACCCTAGAAATGAGAAATGAAAAAATGTTTTATTGTCAACCTTGGTACTTCTCCAAACTCCATCTATTCTTGAAATGCTTTGTGGGGGCTTTCTATGATAGAATTCTGTTTGCTCGTTAAGGCAGCTTATTGTGGTGAAGCGCCAGCCTCAGAACTAAGAAAATATGAGCTCTGGTTCTACATGAGTCATCCTAGCTGGGTTACCCTGGACAACTTATTGGACCTCTCAGGCTTCCAGGAAACTCTCTAAGACTAAATGAGTTGGGGCAGGTAGGTGGGCAGTGGATAGGTAGCCCTGGAGTCAGGAGGACCTGAGTTCAAATTTGACCTGAAACACTTGACACTTACTAGCTGTGTGACCCTGCCCAAGTCATTTAACCCCATTGCCTAGCCAAAAAAAAAAAGACCAAATGAGTGATGGACAAGGTGTGAGACTACGTTGGCAGAAGTTTCCTCAAATATATGTGTGTATATATTACATATATATATATATATATATATATATTACATATATATATATATATATATATATATATATATACACACACACACACACACACACATATATATATATAAAACATATAAAGATATACATACATACATATATGGGCAGCTAGGTGGCACAATGGATAGAGTGCCAGACCTGGAATCAGGAAGACCCATCATCCTGAGTTCAAATCTGACCTCAGATATTTACTCTGTGACCCTGGGTAAGTCATTTCACCCTGTTCACCTCAGTTTCCTCATCTGTAAAATGAGCTAGAGAAGGAAATGGCAAACTACTCCAGTATCTTTGCCAAGAAAACCTCAAATGGGGTCATGGAGAATCAGATAGGAATGAAAATGACTGAACAACAAAACATACATACATACATATGTATGTGTGCGTAAATGTTTATATATACTAGTTTAACTTAATATATGATTTCCCTATACTTAATGTGAAGAGGAAGTATGTTGTGGTGGAGAAAGCATCAGATTTAAAGTTGGAGAATCTAGATTTAAATCTTAGATCTTTACCTACTGTAACCCATATGCCCCTGGACAGGTAATTTAACCTCTCTGAGACTTTCTTAGTTTCCTCTGTCTAAAGAAAAGGGGTTGGATGACTGGAGGAGAGGTGTCAAATGCCTTCAAGGCTTTTTGCCACCTACACCACTCCCTAGGGCTACCTGAACCAGATTAAAATATAATTGGGAAGTATTTCACAAAATAAACAAAAATACAATGAAACTTAAATCACATTAAAAAAAAAGTCACTATGCCCTCTGTGAGGATTGTTAAGTACAGCTTAGTGTCCTCCATTTTTATTTGAGTTTGATACCACTGAACTAGATTATATCATATACTCAGTGTTTTAACTAATTTTGGTTTGCCTCAGTAGGATATTTGTGACCAAGGTCATAGGTTTTGATAAGCCAAGGATAGTACTACAAAAAGAGGTAGAATCAAAGAATGTTACAACTGAAAGGGATGTTAGAGATTATGTAGTTGGACCTCTACATTTTACAGATGAGAAAACTGAGGCCTAGAGAAGGGAAATGACTTGTCCAAAGTCACAATGGCAAAGACAGGACTAGAATAGGTAGCACTAAAACCCAACTGTCTTAACTACTAGTCTACTGGGATTCTTCTACTAGTCCCCAGTTTCTAATATTCACAAAGTATCAATAGACATTGGAATTCTATAGTTGATATTGATTTGTTTTGGGAGGCTATTTGTGGTCCATGGGAATGATTAGAAATTAGAGTTCTCCAAAAGTAGGATCGATTTCCTCGAGAGATAGAGTGTTCCTCATTTTGCAAAGGCTGGATGACAGATTGTCGGGAATATTGCGGAAGGGGGTTTTGGTCAGCCATTGGTCCGAAGAGATGGCCTCTGAGGTCCCTTCTAGGTCTCAGATTCTGTGATTATCACAACATTAAGAGGACTATTTCAGAGTGAAGGGGCAGGTCTTTCCAAAGAGGGATACCTCATTTCTCTGGGAGCTTTGCAT